CTCTCAGACTTTAAGAATACTCTAACAAAAGCTGGAATACAAGTACACTTCAACTATCCTATGTGTATATTTAATGATTGTACTTTAGGCTGAGTTTTGTGGTGGTGCTCTTATATGCAATGGAGTTGTGGCTATCAAAAGAGTAAGAGAATAGCTACTTGTGTGTGATAGCTGCAATGTTATCCAATAATGATATACTAATCCTCTCTCTCTCTCATTACAGACTGAAGGTGGAAAGATCAGTATTGAAGGCTCAGTCTCTGATGATTACTACCTCATAAGAAAGCTTTTATATGAACAATTTGCAATTGTGTAATGCATTTTTTGTCAAGCTCAAGCACTTTCCTATTCTCACTAATCCACCCCATCTAAAATAGACATGGAAGGATCTCAACCATAGTAACATAAAGCTGACTGTTCTTGTTCTATAGCTCAGTCTTCAGTAGCTATAATATACATGCACACACACTGGTAATAATGCTAATGCCATGCATTGGAGCTCAATAATAGAGGTTTTCATTGTCTTCCATATAAGGGCAAGAATCATCATAATGGTAAATGATTCCTGTGTCACTGGGTAAACTCTTTAATTGGTAGTCATGGTTTTATGTCCTTCTCTACATACATTATAGTAATCTCATTACCTTATGGCGGCGACATAATAACGTAACACCTGTTATTTAATATGTTGTCGCGTGATTTCGTTATCGGATTACAGGTCAGACCTGTTTTGTCTAATGTCACGCACTATTGTTGCTAAAACCGCAGGAATTTAACTTGTAAAATGAGCAAAAACAAGGCAAGCATTAGAGTAAGCTGTACTGTAATTTGAGAATTAAACGGGATAGATCTATCATAATTAATAACAAAAAAATGTGGACATGTTCATTTGTTTGATGATTCAGTGATATAAGTGATTGTAGAAATCAAAAAGAGCGAGAAAAAGGCACATGCATGTACAAGTAAGAAAGGAAATAGTTAAAAAGAAATACCAATATTATTTTGTCAATAGATTTGCAAGAGAGGGAGAGGAGATGGAGAAAGAGAACCATTTAACTGGACGATGAATCTCCACTTTCATTCTCATCAATCGGCTGAAGAAGTTCAGGAATGTAGCAATTAATTTTTCCAACTGCAGTCATTGCCTTAGGATCATGAAGTGCCTATATAAAAATGACAGTTGCATTGATTAACATTGAGAACTGCTAGAAAAGATACAAAAATGCAAAGCGAACATGATTAACTAATATGAAAAATTTTTAAAGGACTTCGATATGCAGAATTATTGAATTTCAAAAGGATAAAGGTTACAAAAACTAATGACGTGTG